ATATTTTGAGGGAATGGTAGAGTTGACATATGTCTATTTTCTTCAATCTTATTTTGTACCCCACTACTCTGGCCTTTCTGCTCTTTACTCTTTATCTCTTATGGTGTCTCAGTCTGCTTGTTCACCACCTCGGGTCTAGCTTTCACCACTGGGTTAGCCAATATTTTACCACTTTTCAGAGATACAACTTTGATTGTTTTCTTTGGGTTCTTTTCAGTGTCAGAGGGTAGAGTCCGAGGAGCCCTCTCAGATAACAAATTTGCAATTTGTCCCATTTGTCTTTCTAAATTCTGGATAGCCATGCCCTGCTCCCGGATGGCTGTGCCCTGAATCTCAAATTTTTCATCTGATTTGCTGATGAACGCCTTCATGAGATCTTCCATACTAGACTGATTTGACTATTGTGGCTGGCACTACTGCCTCTGCTTGTTCTGAAAACTTGGTGGTCCTTGACCCTGGGTCTAGGATTATTTTGCTGCCATGAGTTCAAACTCCCACAAGGTGAACTCCACAAAAAACCCGGATGTCTTTGTCCCACAGCATAGTTGTTCCCACCTTGGTAGATTCCTTTAATATAGTTTCCCACAGCATTGGCATTCTTAGTTGAAACTCGACAATCATGTGTAGGGTGTCCCATTTCACAAAAGTCACATGCTGCTTGCAGCTCACTCTGTACCTTGGCCAATGTCAGTTTTCTTATCTCCTTGGCCATGGTGTCTAGCTAGGCTTACATGGATGTGATAAAGTCCACCTAGTGAACCCCAATTGATTTTTTTCTATCATTACTCTCAGCCGGCCACTTGTTAGCATCCTCAGATAATTCATCAAGGATTAAGACAACCTCCTCCGTAGTTTTCTTCATTAGTGGACCTCCACATGCAGTATTCAGAGTTCGTCACGAGAAAGGTGTTAGTCCATCCCAAAAATCCTTGGAGTTGCATCCACAAATCAATTCTGTTATGCTGATACTTTCTGACTATCTCTTTGAATCTTTCCCAAGCTTTGAAAACCATTTATGTCTCCTTCTAGCAGAAATTGTAGATTTCCCTTATGAATTTCCCTGTTTTTGCAGCTGAGAAGTACTTGTCAAGAAAGGCTTTGGTCATATCTTCCCATGTCCTAATTGACCCTGTGGGTAAGCTACGAAGCCAGTGCTTCGCGCCATCTTTCAATGAAAAGGGGAATGCCCTTAAGTAGACCACATCTTTTGATACTCCATTGTCCTGGAAGGTGTTCATGATTTCTTCAAAGTCCATCAAGTGAGTGTTAGGATCTTCATTCGCCTTCTCTCTGAAGATACAGTTGTTTTGGATGGTTTGAAACAAGGCCTGGTTCAACTCGAAGTTCTTTGATGCTATGGGTGGAGGTCTGACACTTGACAGACCTTGATTGTAGACTGGTTTGGCATAGTCACCCAATGATCTTTCAGGCCTGGGTTCTATATGCTCGAACTGATCTTCAATCAAGGGTCGGTTTAGATTGAATCTTCGACCCCCACTATCCTCGATAGTGTCCTCAGTAGCTCTGAGGGCTGCTTCAACTGCTATCCGTGTAGCTTTTTGATGTGATGCCTCTCTTGCAGCTAAGTCTAATCCATCAATCTCTTTGTTTGCCATGTTATCCTGAGTCGAAGTATGACCAAAGAAATTTTCTGTTAATTCTCTTTCTTTTCTCAGTTGTCTCAGGTGTTTCTCCAACTCTGGTTCATAGGGTATCACTTCCTTTGAAGAAGATTGAGTCATACACCAGAGAAATCAAACTTGTATCCTGCACACAAGTGAGAAAACGCGAATACACTAAAGTAAAAATTGGTTCTTGAATTATTACTAAAAACTATTTTAAACACTATTGATTGCCAATCTCATGCAACGACGCCAAAATTTGACGAGCGTAAAACACAACATAAAATTATTGCTCGCTAGTCGAAGATAGTATAGTTTAATTATCGTCTCCAAAGGGATTGGTTTTAAACAGCGCTCGGATAATCTTCGGTTGATTACTATCCAAGAAAATTAAAATTTGATTTGATGATTATCAAGTACGATTAACTACTAAAATTAAGCAATTAACAATTGATCACAAAGGACAAGAAATGAGCAACGAAGAAATATCAATGAGAGAGATAAGGGTAATTGATTAGACATGTGCAAGATAAATGACTCGAGATCCAATTCTTGAGTTAGTTCACTTTATAATACTGTTGATTCTCACGAATTCAATAGATAATCAGATTACACTTGAAGTTAATGTTCCCCTTTTGATTAAACTTTAATTTCAGTAATTAATCCAACTGAAATACGATAAACAATTGCAACGAATAAAATGATGGTTATGGTCTAAAGGGTAACTTCTTATGAATATTTTCCTATTTTCTAGTTCGATTAACAATTCAAGTGGCTCTTTCGATTACCTATTTGAATCACGAATTTTAACTAGAGCATAATATGTAAAACAATTCAATATCAAGCTCCTCTTTAAATTAAGCAAAATAAGGAATAGCTCCACAAAACAAATTAAAACTCCATAAATTAATTCCAACACTTATCAAGAATCGAATCGCTAATCAAGTTATCAAAACACCGTATCAATCAACACACTAATGGAAATTACTCTATAGCGATGGAAAAAGTCATCTTAATAAGGTTCAAAAACAAATAAGACATCAACGATAATGATTCGATACAAACTCCCGTATTGTACCGATCGTTAGTTGAAATATTGATGAACTCTTGAGTCTTCTTGACTTGGTTGGTTCTCTAATGTTTCGTAGGTCAAAAGTCCCTTCAAAATTGTAATTTTTGACATCCGGACTTGGTCCTCAATCCCCGAACGTGATCCCGGCTTAATTTCTTGGGCATCTACTCAGACTTCAAAGCTCCAACTTGTTCGATTTAGCTTCAAATTAACTTTTTACTTGGAATCACTTCTTGTAAGGCATAAAACACATAATAAGTGTAATTCACTATCATTTAAGCTCAAACACACGTAAAATATAGTAATTAGAGTGCAATACTACGGCTAAAACACGGGTTTATAGTCTACCATCAAGCGTTGGATGTGACGTTGGTGTATAAGACCCAGAGGTCTTGTGTCTGGAGAGAAGCTTGGACGGCTTCCTTCTCAACCTCAGGAATTATCTTTTCATTGAAGTCTACGATGAAGTCGGTGAGTACTTGCAACTTTATTGTTGTTCGCGGCTGATATATGATATCGTGCTCACTTAGCTCGATGGCCCATTTGGCCAGCCTCCCCAATAATTCGGGTTTATGTGAAATGCCTCTCAGAGAAAAGGTGGTAACAACCACGATAGGGTGTTGCTTTCTCGAGGTGCTAAACTTTCATGAAGCAATGACTAGTGCTAGGGCCAGTTTCTCGAGGCGTGGGTACCTCATTTCGGCGTCGACGAGTGTTTTACTAATGTAATAAATGGGAGATTACATACCTTTACATTCTCGGATCAGGACTACACTTACTGCCACTTCATAGATGGCCAAGTAGACAAGGATGTGTTCCCCGGGTTTAGCTCTCGCAGAGCTTGTACGCACTCGGGCATCCACTCAAGGCCGTTATCCTTTTTAGTACACCAAAAAATCACTGACATCTGTCGGACGACCGCGAGATAAATCTTGATATGGCGTCGATTCGACTAGTCAACCTTTGGACTTACTTCTTAGTAGTCAGTTACTTTGGTATCTCTTTGATAAATTTGATTTGGTCTGGTCTAACCTCGATCCCCCGTTGTGACACTAAGAAGCCCAAATACTTCCCCGAGGTTATGCCAAATGCGCATTTCTCTAGGTTTAGTTTCATTCCGTACCGTCTCAGTATGTCGAAAGCTTCCTTCAAATGGTCGATATAGTCCTCCACTTTTATGAATTTGACCAACATGTCGTCGATATATACCCTCATGGTCTTGCCAAGATGATCTTTAAACATTTTTGTGATCAATCTTTGATAGGTTGCTCCTACGTTCTTCAGCCCGAATGGCATGACCCTATAACAATATGTTCCTCGGTGGGTGATGAATGTGGTTTTCTCCTGGTCCTCTTCTTCCATAACTATATGGTTATAGCCCGAGTATGCATCCATAAAAACACAACAGCTCGTGCCTGGTCATTGCGTCGAAGAGTTGGTCGATATGTGGTAATGGGGATGAATCCTTCAGGCATGCTTTGTTCAAGTCCATGAAGTCTACACACATCCTCCATTTCCCATTTTTCTTTTTGACCATCACTACATTGGCGATCCACTTGGGGTATTTTGACTCCCTGATGGAGCCATTTTCAAATTGCTTCTCCACCTCCTCGTGGACAGCATCGTTGATGTTAGGGTTGAATTTTCGTCTGACCTGCCTTATCGGGGGTAGAATGGATTGACGTTTAATTTAGTTTGTGTGTGGCAATATCCTTTAGGACGCCTGGCATATCTGCATAGCTGAAGGCAAACAAATCTGCATTAGTTATTAAAAATTGACTAAATTTACTTGGTTCTCGGAGTTTGAAGCCGATGTAGGCTTTTTTGCTGGAGTTGCTGGGGTATAATTAAATGAGGTTGAGGTCTTCTATAGTTGAGTCCGCGACTTCAACCGTTTCGGGATCCATGCTAACGTCCCTGGTCTCTTCTCGCATCGACCTCGATCGTGTTGATTGCGATGCCTCTTTTTCCTTGTCTTTGTTCTGTTGGATTGTCATGTTGTCTAAGGCGATGTGGTAACATTCCCGGTATGTGCATTGTTCTCCTAGTATGCTGAATATCCCCCAAGGTGTTGTGAATTTGATTACTTGGTATAAGCTGGAGAAGACGGCTCTCATGGGATATATCCATGGTCGTCCTACTATGGCATTGTATGTGGTGGCCTGGCCAATGATGTGAAATGTTGTCTCCAGAGTTATGCCGCCGGCCAAGACGGGGAGTGTAATTTCACCCGAAGTCCATTCAAATGCATTATTAAAATCGGTTAGTGTGATGCAGCGTGGCAGTATCTTGTCCTCGAGGCTGATCTAGGTGAGGACTCGGGGATGGATAATCTGCGCTCCACACCCATCGTCTACCATGATATGTTTGACATCAATATCTAAAATTCGTAAAGTAATGACGAGAGCATCATTGTGAGGGAAAGTTAAACCGCCTGCATCTGACTCATCGAAGATGATACTTTCTTCGAGTTCGTCATACTGCTCGTACGTGATAGATCTTTTGAGATTTTGAGTGGCAGTGAATTTAGTGCCGTTCATGGAGGCATCATCGCTGCTACCAATGATCATGTTGATGGAGCGAGCTAGTGATGGTGGCTTTGGCTGTTCTTGGCATTCACGACCTCTAGCGAAGTTGTTTCTCTCGTTGTCGCTCAGCAGCTCTTTGAGGTGTCCCTGCTGTAACATGTACACAACCTCTTGCCTGAGGGCGATGTAGTTTTCTATCTTGTGTCTGCGCTCCTGGAGGAATTCGCAGAGGGCATCGAATTTTCTGGTGCTTGGGTAGGACCTCATCTTTGGCGGCGACTTCACATTTGTTTCGAGTTTTTCCAGGGCATAGAATATTTATGTAGGTGACACACAAAAATTATGAGCAGACAATAAGGGTGTGTACCTATATCATTCCGGTGAGTCCCCGTCCTCGTCCTAGATGGGCCTTTATCGTAGCGGAAAGAAGGCGGGGTGGGGCCCGCTAACGTATGACTGATGGCATTCCCTATTTGGCTGTGAGACCGAGTGATCCCTCCTTACGTTATCTCTTCGTTCTTTCTTAGACTTGTTTTGTACCGAGATGAGCCGTCGAGTTGGTCTGTTGAGGTCGTCATCATCTGCTTGGACTTCGACACAAAAAGCATTGTCGATTCATCCCAAGTGGTTGGAGAATACTTGGCTCAACAATCTTTTGGATGCTCTTGAACCCTCTACTCAAACCGTTCTGAAAGGCCGCGATTACCATCCCTTCAGACATGTTTGGTAGGGTCATCCTTACCTTGTTGAATCGGGCGAGAAATTCTCTCAGTCCCTCTCCCAAGGACTGCTTGACAACAAAGATGTCGTTTACTATTGTTTCGACTTTCTTGAATCCGGCATGTGCCGTTATGAACTTATCGACCATTTCGGGTTGGTAGTTGTGAGTACCATGTTAACGCCCCTCTTGTAAGGGCTTCACCAAATTTCTTCAGCAAAATAGAGGACACTTGTTCTTTGGTGAGGTCGTTGCCCTTTACGGCGGTGACATAATAAGTCACGTGATCATCGAGGTCAGTCGTTTCGTCGTATAGCCTGATAGACGGTGGCATTTTGAAGGTCTTTGGTATGGCATGCAAGGCTTCTTCCTCTCTATATGGCTACTCTATGAATCTGCCGGCATCCCTCTTTGGCAATAGCTTAGGGGTGCCGGTATCTTGTCGACTCGTTCTTGGTGTTCTTTCATTTGATCTGTGACTGCTTTATTTTCATTCTTCATTTCTTCCATCCTCTTTAGAACAACCGCGAGGACGCTGTCTCATGAATTGTTAGTAACACTATGAGTTATACCTGGTGTTGGAGGGTCCGATTAGTCGCCTTGTTCGTATTCTCATTGCACTATATGGGCTCTTACGGTCTCTATGGTCGTGCATGGAGCAGGTTAGTTAAGCACGCTTACTAGTGTATCGGTCAACCACACTTCAAGGAGATTTTTCATGGCCGATGGAATCCCTTCATTTGTGGATGTGGAGGCCCCTTTTTCCAGTTGCTTTTGTTATTCTACAATGGTATGGAGGTGACCTCTCGCGCCTGGGGGAGGCAGTGGGTGTCACGTCACCGCCTAGTGTTTCATAGCTCTCGTTGATAGCGTTCGTGAGGTTGTGTAACGATCCGATTGGCTATTTTGAGAATTACCGTCCCGTTCGGTAGCTTAAGGTCTCGAGCATCTTCGTATTATGTGTTATGACTTACATGTGTGGACGAGTTCAGTTTTCGGATGATTCGGGGTCAATTTGGAAGAATGATTCTTGTTTTAGAATCTTAAACAGTAAGAGTTGACCAGAGTTTTGACTTTTGTGTAGACGACTCTGAAATGAAATTTCGCTGATTTCAATAGCTTCGTATGGTGATTTGGACTAAGGCGTGCGTCCGGATTTGGATTTGGAGGTCCGTAGAGTAAATTGGAGCATTTTGGCGAAAATTGGAAAGTTGAAGTTTTGGAAGGTTGAAAGGTTTGACCGAGAGTTAAATTTGGTGGTATCTAGGTTGGAATGCGATTCTGAGAGTTGGATTACCTCTGTTATGTTATTTGCGACTTGCATGCAAAATTTGACGTCATTCCGGGTTGATTTGATATGTTTCGGCATGAGTTGTAGAAGTTGGAAGATTTGGAATTTCATAAGTTCGATTCGAGGTGCGATTCGTAGTTCCGGCATTGTTTGATGTTATTTAAGGCCTCGAGTAGGTCCGCGTTATGTTATGGAACTTGTTGGTATGCTTGGACGGGGTCCCGGGGGCCCCGGGTGTATTTCGAACGAGCTGCGGATCAATTTCATATTTTGGGACAGGTGTGGTTCTGGTGCTTCTCACCTGCGACATTTTGGAGGGCAATTTAGGCTCCGCTTCTGCGCGAGCCTGGTCCCTTCTGCGATTATAGAGGCCTGGGAGGAAGCTCGCTTCTGCGGAGATTGGCACGCAGGTGCGATGGCCACTTTTGCGGCCCAGTGACCGCATATGTGAAGTTGTTCGCTTTTGTGGCTCGATTGACGCTTCTGCGATGTCGCTGGTGCGACTGTGATTTCTGTAGATGCTGATCCTGACCTGGTATGTTGTATTCGCATATGCGAACTTTTTCTCACAAATGCCACGCAGATGTGGCTTTTCTGTTCGCAAATGCGAAAGTGCTCGGCATAGTCACATATATGTCGAGGGTTTGATATTTTCAACATATTTTGAGTTGGAGACCTCGGCTTTGGGATATATTTTGTGGGTTTTTCAAGCAATTCATTGGGGTAGGTGTTCTCTACCTGAATCATATTATATTTCATTAAACCATTGCTATTTTCATCATTTAATTAGTGAAATTAGTTGGAAATTTAGGAAACAATTATAAAAATCTTTCAAAATGTAAAATGAGGATTTGAAGGGCGATTCGATATCGAAATTTGGTAATTCTTGCCTGGTTGGACTCGTATCGGAATGGGTGTTCGGGTTTTGTGAATTTTGTCGGGTTTCGAGGTGCGGGCCCTGAGGTTGACTTTTGGGTTGACTTTTTAGTTTTTGTTAAAGATTGAAGCTTTATTATCTGGAATTGTTTCCTATGAGTTTTATTTATGATTTGAAGTTATTTTTTCTAGATTTGAGCCGTCCGGAGGTTGTTTCACTTGTGAAGGTCATTTTAGAGTATCGGTCTAGTTTCTTTGAAGTAAGTATCTTGTCTAAGGATTTGAGTCATTTGTACTAATTGTGTCATGTGAAGGCCGTGTACGCGAGGTGACGAGTATGTGCTCGGGCGTATTTATGGAAATTTGACCGTTTAGGGCTCTTAGGTTCTTAAGTTCATTAGATATGAAGTTGTTTTGTCATGTTAAATCCCTCATTTGCTAAATTCTCCCTTACGTGTCTTATTTAGAATTAATTTCTTCGTCTTCTACCCTTATTGCCGATTAAACTCTTATGTGCCTTAACTGAAGTGTTTGCTCTTTTATTGCCATACTATCCTTTCCGTAATTGCGTGTCCTTAATTGAAGTTATTATCTTTTCCGTAATTGTCTATTTTTAATTGAAGTTATTATTATTTTTTCTGTAATTGTCTATCCTTAATTGAAGTTATTATTATCTTTTCCGTAATTGTTTATCCTTAATTGAATTTGTTGTATCTCTTTCGTAATTGCTCAACCTTAAATGAAGTTTTGTTATCCCTTTTCATTATTGATTTACCCTTATTTAGAATCATTGATTCATGTTATCTCTCTTATCGTCGAATTGTACTTTTGTGGAATCATTTCTACACATCTCTTCCTTGTTGAGCTATTCTTGTTGAGACCATTATTTCCTGTTGTGTCTTTCTTTGTGAGCTCATTCCATCATTTCTTTGTGTTCTGAAGTTCTTGAGTTGATTTACTTGTCGTACTCTCATGTTATTGTTGTTGTTGTTGTTATTGTATTCAGTGTTGTTGAGACGAGGGCTATGCGTGGTTGTGATATTAAAACTATTTTGAGGAAATGTTGTGGCATATGGGCACATATTGTGAAAGTCATTTTATTGAGTTGTTATATTTTGGCACACGTGTTATTGTTGCACTATTTGCTTAGTTATGTGTAGCTAATGTTGTTGTACTATTCGTTGTTTTAATTTCATTATTGTCTTTATTATACTGTATATTTTGTAGTGATCATTTCTTATGTGCCATTCATTGTCTCTACACGCTTACTTATTGACTTAAATTGTGGTAGAACACTTACACAAGCATACACATAAATAAATCACCCGCATCAGTCTAAGAAGATTAATCCTGATGTTTTAACCATTTACATGTACTCCTATATACTTGCCTTATGTGTGAGAGTTATCATGTTGGCATGTGAGTCGTCCGTCCTGTAATGAATTGTAATGCGGGCACAAAATGCCAAGTAATTAGGGTTCATAAATTGGGACCCGTGATTTGTGATTTTGAGGTTTGGTACCTCGTGGAAATTCTTGGATAAACCTGTTGTGAAAGCGGTGGTTTCTATTGAGTTGTCACATGTTTTCCTTTATTTTGTTTCACTGGATTTGAACTGTGTTCAGTTTACTCTACAGTATTATTACCTATTGTGTGTTGTTGCTAACTGTTACTTTTAGTCAAGCATTGTATTGTTATTGTCATCATGCCTAGCTCTATATCGATATCGTTCCCTGCTAGTTCTATATTTACACTTGTTCAGGTTGTTTAGTCCAGTGGGTGTCTTGACTGTTTCTCATCACTACTCCACCGAGGTTAGTCTTGATACTTACTGGGTGGCGCTGTGGTGTACTCATACTACACTTCTGTACATTTTTGTGCAGATCCAGGTGCCTCAGTTATTATTGATTATTAGTTAGCTGGTCGAGCATTGCTATGGAGACTCAAGGTAAACGTGTCGTCGCGTTCGGAGTCCTCAGAGTCACCTTATGATATTGTACTCGTACTGTTTAATTCTATTCCGAACATTTGTATTTAGAGATTTTCTAGCAAACTCAGTAGAGCTTATAACGTGTACTACCATTTTTGGGTATTGTATCGCACTTCGGATCATTGGTTTTACTATTGAAATTTCAGTTTCATGCTTTGTAGTTGTTATGGTTAAATTATGTCTTTAATTCATTAAGTGTTAGGCTTACCAAGTCTTAGAGACTAGGTGCCATCACGACATCCTACGGAGGAAAGTTTGGGTCGTGACAGGTTTCCAGGGAAGTCACCTGTCATTTTCGTTTTATCTCCTGGGTTATCTGCCATGTAATTATCTCTACGTGCAGAGGAAAAGGGAAACCTTGTGGTTCGTTAGGTTAGCAACTCTCGCGAGTT